TGTGTTTTGTTCTTCTTATTTTTTTTCTTTTGTTGTATATGTGTTATTTAGCTGATACTCGAGAGGCACGCTTAGTTTCCCTCTGAAGCCTTGTACAAGTAAAAAAAAAACTGTATTGGGCGAGATGAAACATATGGGAAGTTGAAAATGACTGGCTATGAGGAGCTTGCGCTTGCGGTGTGTATGCAGCCATGTCTTTGGCTGCCATTTGTTTCATTGCCTCCTCATTGCTCGCTTGCTGACGCTGCAACTGCCACGGCACTGCCCTCCTTTCTTGAATTCCTCTTGCGACGTTCACGTGCCACGAAACCCTGCCCTTGTGAATACTCACCGCCGTTGAGGCGGACACAAACGTGAAGGATAAAAAGAAAACAAGAGCAGCATAAAAATTGTGATGACCCGCCGCGGGTGTGTGTCCCCCCCATCGTTCACGGGCGGTCTTCCCGCAGCTGCGGCTGCTGCCCGCGGAGAAGAAGGTGGCGGCGGCGGCCCTGTGCTTGGGGACTACTACCGCGCCCCCGATGTGAGCGGGGATGAGAGCTCCGTCCTTGACGATGAGATTTTGATGATGACGGACGCGGAGAAGGAGGCCTTTGCAGAGATGCAGAGCAAATTAGAGGAGGCGTGCCTGTCGCACTTCTACCACCGCCATTGCCGCTCCCCATGCGAGGGCGCGGCTGCAGCGGCGGTCGTGAAGCGTGGCGAGGTCGATCGCCTCAGCGCCGACTGCCCGCACCGCGACGGCGGCGGGGCGAGGATTAGAGTAGACAGACCCCACACCGTGTCGAGTGCCCCCTGCAGTCCTCGCAGTGGCTCGTCAACCCCGACGGGCATCCGCAGTCCGCCGGTGTACCCCGGCGCCCGGCGCCCCAGCGCGCGAGAGACGTGGTACAGGGCCCAACTGGGGGAGGAGTTCACGTTTCACCCGCAGATCAACGCGACAGACGTGGCACCTCGCTACATGGAGACCGCGGCACGGCGATCGCGCGAGGTCGCCGTGATGGCTGACGCGGCCGAGACATCTAATTTTAGACCGGTAACGAATCGACTGCGTAGCTTGTCCGTGTCGGACCACCTGAGGCGCTACCTTCGCACGCCGGTCCACCTGCGGCTGGGCCGGCCGACGTCCGCGTCGTCGCAGCGAGAGGCGCAGCAACAACACCACCGACCAGCGGAGAAGCCGCGTGAGTGCGGTGGAGGGCAAAAGGGCGGAAACGAACGTGAGGTGTCCGAGGCGTTTCTGCGGCGCCTGGAGGAAACGAATCACCGACGGGAGAAAAACCTTGAACGAATTGCTTTGCTCCACAACACGGAGCTCACGTTCCGTCCAAGGCTGGCTCCTGGGACCCGCAGGAGACGTACCCCGTCGGCTGTGGCACCGCAAATTCGTGGAGAGGCGGCGCAAGGCAAAGCGCTGGCGCAGCGGGCAAGTGGCGGCAGCTCGGGGGATGACGCGACAGGGGGCAGTGCCCACGCCGCGTCGCTGCACCCGTCGCCGCTGATCAACGTCCGGTCGCGAAGCATGAAGCGGGGCTTGAAGGACCTCCGTCTATTTGAGCTGCGAAGGCAACAGCGTCTAGAGCAGCTGCGCGCTGAGCGTGAGGCCACGGAGGGTGACGCGGTCTCCGGCAGGCCAGCTGTAAGCGGCGGCTCACGTAGACTCACAGGGGCCCTCTTTGGCGATGACGTCACGCATGAGGCTATTCAACAATACTTGCAGCGACACGCCTGCAAGCGTGCGGCCGCACTTCGCATGGAATACGAGGCGAGGAGGCGAGAAGAGGAGAGGCATCTCACATTTCATCCCGAGGTGCATCCAGTGCCACCGTATGTGCATGAACTTGCGCAAGAGCTTGCGTTGAATAAAACATTTGCAGTGAAGCCATCGAGGCAGAAACCAGTTTTTCGTTTTTCTTAGTTTTGTGCACTCATCACTTTTTGCAAGTAGTAGAGCCCTTACTCCTTCTCTCTCTCTATCGTCTTGTACTGACCTCCCCCCCCCCAGTGTCTCCTGTGAGCACACAAATACTACACTGTATACGTATAATGTGTGTGTTTTCCCGTGCTTCCTTGAATATTTTGCAGCCGTTGTTTGTTTGTTTGTTTACCTTTTTTTTTTGTTATTTAATGACGCTGTGGTCTTCTTGCCTCTCGTCTCTTTTTTTTTTGTAGGAGGAGAGGCTGCGCAGTAGGCCTAACAAAGGTAGGAATACAGCCACGAGAGTTGTATATCCCAGATACACAGACGTTGTTGTGTTTACTTTTTCAGCACCTTTCCTCTTGTCCCCGCACGCCCCCCTCACTAAACTGAAGCACATTATATTTTTCGTTTTGCCTGCATGCAGGACGACTCGGCGCCTGCCGAGTCCTCGGCGACGGACAAGGATGATGTGTGGTCCATCGCCAGCATCCCGCCCAGGTTTAGTAAATTGTTAGGCGCGTTGGACGATGCCGCCTTTACGCATAACATTTCCGCCTACGAGGGGTTTGGCTCTTTTCACTCTGGAAACGTTGAGGAACTCATCGCCGTGGAGAGTGGCGCGTACCACCCCCCACTGCTGCCGCCCTTCGCGAGGAGGGTGCTGGGGCGCAGCGAACTCTGCCAGCTCCTCGCCGCGAAGGATGAGGAGGAGCGGATGGAGATCAGGAAGCGGCCCATTCAGCGGTGCGAATTTGGGCTTCCCTTTCGTCAGGAGCATTTCACTGTCACACCTGAGTTTGTCTTCATTAACCATGGCGCCTTTGGAGGAACTCTCTGCGGCGCCTTGGCGATCAAGCACGGCTACGAGGAACTCATGGAGCGACAGGTGGTGGAGTACATGGATCGGGAACTGCTGCCTCTGGTCGTGTACAGTGTTCGAAGGCTGGCAGAGTTTTTCAACGCAAACCCTCAACAAGTTGTCTTGCTTCAAAATGCAACCTTTGCGCTGAACTGTGCGATGCAGCTGATCGCAAAGGATGACGTTGTCGCGTTTTTTGATACCGAGTACCTTTCCGTGTACAAGATGATGTACTTCCGCTGCGAAAGCGTGGGTGCTACCCTGCATGAGGTTTCACTTACAAGGCACCTGCATGACGCTTCCATCATGGGAGACGATGCAGCCCTCACAGATGAAATATGTCGCCAGCTACCAAGCGGTTGCACAACTGCCGTCTTTGATTACGTCACATCCACCACGGCGCTTTGTTTGCCGGTGTTTACACACATTATTCCCGCATTGAGGAAGCGTGGTGTGACAAAGATTATTGTGGACGGGGCGCATGCCCCGTTACAGCTGCATTTGGACTTTAATGACCTACCGGCAGCGTCGAAGCCGAGCGTATTTGTTGGGAACCTTCACAAGTGGTTTTCCATCGCCAAGTCTGTCGGATTCATCTGGGTTAACAACTCAATTTTGGACTCGTTTCACTCCGTTGTTCTTTCTCATGGTGCGGGTGATGGGTTTCTCTCGGAGTTTATATGGGATGGCACACGCGACTACGGCGCCTACCTCTGTATTCCAGCAGTCATTGACTTTTGGCGTCTGCAGGGCGTTGAGCGTGTGCGAGATCATTGCGCCCACTTGCTCCAATCGGCGGCAAAGATGCTTACGTCCCGCTTTGGCACGCGCCCGGTAGCCCGGCATGCTCCGTTCATGTCTCTTGTGGAGCTTCCGGAGGCGCTGCAGGGGCCGTACTTGACGGCAAAGTATATTCAAGACCTCCTGCACGACATATACATGCTGGAGGTCCCCGTCAAGCGGGTGGAGGGGCGCTTCTACGTACGCATCAGCGCCTTCGTCTATAATACCCCTGGCGAATACGTGTACCTGCGCGAGGCGGTCTTAGGCATCGCCCGCAATTGGCTGCACTCAGAACTGCAGCGACGGTTGCTTCCGCGAGGGGCCGGCGACCCCGCCGACCCCTCGCTTCCGTGTGACAAGCGGATCCGCGAACAAGGCGGGTGTGGCGTGTCTGGGCTTGAGCCGGTGGTGAAGAAACGACGGGGCACCCGGTTCTGAGGTTGCGTTGGCTTCAGCAATCTGTGAAGAAAAGAGGGGAGGTAGTGGCGTCTGACAGTGAATTTTTCACCTCAAAAGTGAAGGAGGAAAAAGTTTGGGAGAAGAACAAACTAAAACAAAAACAAAAAAATCAGGCAGGGCAATGAGACGAAGGAAAAGAAAAATAATAATAATAAGTCGGTCGGTGGTGGGTTTCTTTGGTGGGGGTGTCTGCGGGAATTGAAGGGAGTGGCGAAAGAAAGCGGGAGAGCGGGATGGCGTATTTTATGTAGCGTACGAA